TCTCGCCCACACGGCAGAGCCTGGCAAGCTCCCCGTGACGTATTCGATATGCCAAACACAGTAACAGCAAAGTCTCCATTGGAGACGTTACTGGGCCCACTCGAGCAAATCGACGAACAACGGGAGGGCGTTTACTTTACTTTACTCTTTACTTTTTACTTAAATCTAACTTTCAATGCATTCTGAGTTATTTTAAACTGCCTAGAACAAGAATATACTGGTACGGGGTTCAGAGATAAAACACCCTCTAGAGTATAAACAAATCTCTACAACTAATCAATATAAAAACAAAAATAGGGCCAAACTGAATTCATTAGTCCTTACACATTTGTCCCACTCCTTGCACAAAACTTAACAAATTGACCAGATATTTCTTCAGTCTGCACCTTGTTACCCACTCAGATTATCTAACGCAGAAAACTTGAGTTTGTGGTAAAATAAATTATAACTAAAAAATAAAAATTACAGCTGAGTTTAGATGGAGAAGTGATTATAAGTTCCACATTTCAACTTAGAGACTTTTCAGAGCACATTCGAATCTTCCACGATGGAAATCCCTAACTTCTCATTCCAGAGAAGGGGGGGAGGGAGGGAAAATTAGGAATTTAGCTGCTCAGACTGTATATTGCTAGTAACTGCAGAACCCCAACTTCAGTACCACACTTCATTTTTCTACTACTCATTCTTGTCATCTTTAGCTAACAGCTCCCCATAGATCCACAACCTCACCTTACTGATTTTGTGCTCAGTTCTACACTACTTACTTTGTTGCTGGATGGAATGCTACCGAGATAACTCATGAGGAAAAGAGCTATGAACAATACAAGACTTTCTCTAACATTTATCAATCTATCATCAATCTTTGATATAAAGAAATTGTTTCTTAGCCAAATTATATGAGCTCTTCAGATCCTAAGCAATCAATGTTTCTGCAAAGCTTGCATTTTTAAATCACTTCCAGATCAAAATGATTAGGAGAGAATTCCTGAGAGATCAGATTCCATTTAAAAGAGCCATAAAGTATAGCTGTATTTTGCCCTGCTTCCTGTAGAGCATGTTTCAAATGCTGCAATCGTTTAGATGAACTGAGTGCATGATTCCCTGTAATCTGGAAGTACGTAGTCTTCTACCTTGATCATTTGATTTTACTTGTCAACCAGTAGAGTTTCTATGCAGAATTGGTCTTATTATCCAATTATTGTAAGAAAGATGGCTTAATTTCAATATTTCCAAAACCACTTCATTTGGCAAAATTTTCCGGTACTCAAATAGACAGCACTTTCTATCTTATTAGATAATTTCCTTTACCTAAATGTTATTGTTTTCCCTTGGAAGAGACATAAGAAAATCATTCTGTTTCTTTTTTAAATTTTAACTTCAGCAGACATTCTAAGCATTTTGTTTTCATTTGCAAAATTAAAATGCACTTGGTGTCTTATTTTCATAAAGAATTATGTTCTAATTTTAGAAAATCTAAATGCACAAAAGTATAATTTTGATTATTTTAAAGTAGGTTATTAGAAACACCCTTTTATTATTAGCTCCTCCAAAGCACTACCCAAGCATCTCATTACCTGATATCGTTTAAATATCATTGAGTCAGTGAAATAACAGTTGGCTGTGAGAAATAGAAATCTCAGAACAAAAGTAACATAAATAGAAGTTTATTCCTCTCAAGTAAGTTTAGACAATCAAGGGATGGTGTGGCAAATCCTTCTGTAAGGAGCTATGTTCATTTTTGTCACTCCACCATCTTTTATGCAGCATAGCTACTAATTTTTTTGTTTCTGGGGCCACACCTGGAAATGCTCAGGGGTTACTCCTGGCTCTGCACTCAGGAATCATTCCTGGAGGTGCTCAGGGAACCATATGGGATGCCGGGAATCGAACCCAGGTCAGCCACATGCAAGGCAAATGTCCTCCCAGCTGAGCTCTCGCTCCAGCCCTAGCTACTATTTTATGGTCCTCATTGACCACACTTATGTCTGTGTTTCATCTAGAAAAAAAGAGAGAGAAAACAAGAGCAAAACTGCCTCACCTTTTAAAAACACTTATCAAAAGCTGCAGTGAAAAGGAGTCACCCCTCCACTTCAGAAAAAAGGCAACTACTTCATCCTTCCTCCAACAGACAATGAGATTTGATTTCTACAGAGAATCTCAATCCATGGCAATACTAACCAGGTTTAACCTCTTTGGAAAACAATATGGCACCTTTTCAAGAAGTTAAAGATAAAAGTACTATATAATCCAACAATTCAACTCCTTAGCGTCTATCTCAAGACATAAAACACTCATTCAAAAAGTACACGCACATCAATATTTATTGCAGCACTATTTACAATAGTCAAGATTTGAAACTAACTCCCAAAATGATTCCCAGAACCAGATGAGTAAATAAAGCAATTGTGGAGGCCAGAGCAATAGTGGAACAGGTACAGTGATTGCCTTATACATACATGGCTCACCTGGGCTTAATCTCCAGCACTTCATATGGTCCCCTGAGCACAGCCAGAGGACAGTGGGTGTGACCCCAAAATCCAAAAATAAAAAAGTAATTATGTTATATATAATATATATAATGCAGTGCTACTCAGCCGTAAGAAAAGATTAAATCCTACCTTTTGTTACAGTTTGAATGAAGCTATATTATGTCAATTGAAATGAGGGAGAAGAACAAATGCTGAATGATCTCACTCATGCGTGGCATATAAAGAAACAAAGAAGGGAACGAATCTATGCTGAATGAAAAAAAAAACTTTAGTCTCTGGTAACAGAACTAAGATTACCAAGGCAAGGGAAGGGAACAGAAGGTGGGGGTCTGGGGGATACAGGGAAGACAACATTAAAACTACTGTAGAAATATTATTTTTTAAGTGCTCCCAGTGGGACCCAGGATGACTCAGTAATAAAGTGTCTTCCAGGCAAAGGGCTGGATGAGAATTTAACCACACTGAACCTCTAGCTATTTGAGAAACTGGAAATTTTAGTCATTATTCTAGACAGTCATAATTCCCAAGTAAACATTGACTATTTTATTACCTACAGAAAGAGATTAGATATCAAAAGACAATGAGAAATGTCTCTCACCACAATATAAATCCTCCCGGAAAAAAGTAATGAGATGATTAGAAGGCCCAAGAGAACTGAATCCTAACACATTAGTAGGGAAGTCTAAGGAAGCCCTGAAAAGGCTTTGGAACTGACAGAGCCAAGTATTTCTGTAGGTAAAATCAAAGGAAAAGTATAAAGTAGCAAGATAACTGAATATCTGTTTCAAAAGCAGATTGTCCTTCAGAGTCGCCCCTCCACTTTAGAAAAAAGCAACTACTTCATTCTTCCTCCAACAGAAAATGAGGTTTGATTTCTACAGAGAATCTCCATCCGTGCAAATACCAAGCAGAGTGAAGGAAGGAACTATTTACTTAAAGAGAGAAAAGAGTATTTTTTTTTGTTTTTGGCCCACACCCAGAGGTGTCCAGGGCTTACTCCTAGTTTTATGCTCATGAATCACTCCTGGCAGTATTCAGGGGATCATATGAGATGCTGGGAATCAAATGCAGATCAGTAGCATGCAAGGCAAATTCTATTCTTATTTTTAAGAGATATCCACATTGCTTTTCATAGAGGCTGAACCAGAAGACATTTCCACCAGTAGTGAATGAAGCTTCTTCTCTTACCACAACCTCACCAACACCATTTCTAGACTTTTTGACATATGCCATTCTCACTGGCATGAGATATATCTCATTGTTGTTTTGATTTGCATTTCCCTGATCAGCAGTGACAATGAGGACTGTTTCATATATCTATGGGGCCGTCTGTGTATCTTGTTTGGGAAAGTGTCTGTTCACAGATATGCACATTCTATCACAGCACTGGGTGCCCCAAGAATCATCACCACCAGAATTGCACTTAGTGCAAGTGGGTGTCCTGGGAATTGAACTCATTGCCTCAGACTTGCAAGGTAGGCACTATTTACCTCAGAGTCATCCCTCAACCTCCTAATATCAACAAAAGATTTCCTACCAAAAATTGTATCACATTATAATAAACTGTAGGAAAATTAACATGGAAATATAGATTCAACTAGAAAAAAGGGAACAATATATTTTATATCTATTAAAAAGAAAAACATAGGGGCCAGAGCAATAGCATAGCAGGTAGGATTCTTGCCTTGCACATGCTTGACCCAACTTTGATTTCTGGCACCACATATGTTCCCGGAGCCCACCATGAATGATTCCTGTGCTCAGAGACAGGAGTACACCTGAGTACAAAAGATGTGGCCCCAAAAAATAAATAAAATATATGTACATATATATTAAAAATAATTTTAAAAGAAATGAAAAGAAAGAAAAACTGGACTGAGGAGATAGCTGAGAGGGCTTGCTGTGCATGCTTGTCCCCCACCAGGTTCAGTTCCCAGCTCCAGTGCATACTGATAGTGAACCCTGAGCACCTAGCCAGAAGTAGATGTGACCCAAAAAGAAAATTTTAAAAAAGAAAAAGCTTTCTTGTGCACTTTTTAAAATTAGTAACATCAAGTTGCTGCAGTATTTTTATTATAAACTTTGGGGTTTTTTTAAAGTGATGGCTATTTTAATATATTGATATTTAAAATATGCCAGAAATGACATCCTTAGAAACTGCTTACTCTTTAAGATCTAGACAGCAATTTAAAGATGTATAAGGAAGCATATTATTCTTTAGGTGCTACGTGAGAAATGTTCAAAGATTACTTATCTATACCTATGGTTCATTTATTTTCACAACTTTCTTGACAACTTTCTTCTCTTGCTGTATCGATTAAAGGTTCTCTTTGGGTAAGAATTAAGTCCCAATTCTTAGATTTTACCCGAAGACTCAAGCAGCTTTGAAATTAAGAGGACAAAAAGGGGAAAGACTTCTGGGGCATAGTTTATAATGAAGTTAAGTGAGTCATTTTATTTGAGACCAGGGTAACTAAAGATGTATATTTTTTATTTGTGTTTTCTCTGCAGCAAGTGAAAGGAAACTTTGCTAGGCTTCAGGCCTGTATCTCTGAACTTCGCATGCTACAAAGAGAAGGTTGTTTCAGACCCCAAAGCACTTCTCTGCAGGTGGCAATAGAGGATGGGCTCCAGCAGTTTAAAGAGTATAGCAGATACGTGCCCACAGGTGCAGGTCTGAACTACACTTGCTTGGAGGTAAGACATACTGGCTTCAAGCTCTAAGCCATGTTACCCATTTCACTCCACTTCAATGCTTCATTATTTAATTATTTATCATCCTTATATTGTGCTCTTTCATAAACATTGAACATAATTTTATTGTTTTGGTTTTTTGGGGATTTTGTTTGTTTGTTTGGCTTTTGGGGTCACACCCTGTGATGCCCAGCACAGGTTACCCCTGAGTCTGCTATCTGAAATTACTCCTGGTGGTACTCAGGGGACCATATGGTATACCAGGGATCAAACCCGGGTCAAAGACATGCAAAGCAAATGCCCTACCTGCTATACTATTTCTTCAGCCCCTTGAATGTAATTTTCAAGTATAGACTTTTGGCCCTCTAGAGGCAGAAAACTTGTTTTTCCCCTTTCTTGTATGTAACTTGTGCAATTCTTACTGCAAAGCTAGGCATAGGAGGAGCTCTAAAAATATGCACTGGGAGGGAAAAAAAAACTATTCTTTGGGGCCAGAGAGATACTGCAAAGGGTAAAGCACTTGCTATAGAGTCAGCTTCAATCCCTATTCCAAGAACCTCCAAAAGTGACCCCTGAGCACAGAGCCTGGCATAAATCCTTAACCACACCAGAGGTGGAAAAAAACACTTTTTTGTGAGGCAAGATAATTTTTATTGAACAAAGCTTAATTAGAAATGTATGAGGCAAAAAAGAGGGGAAATAGGTATACAAGAGAGAACATGGACTCTCTCCAGAGTGAACTAGGCAAGCAAAGGAGCATAGAGACAAGCAAATGAGGTATGTATTCGGGGAGAACATGGGTTTGAAAAACAAGAAAAAGAGGAAAACTTTTTTAATTAAAAAAGTTAAAATATAAATTGAAGTGAATTATAAGGAAAAACTGGAATCAGTATAAAAGCTGCATATGCCATTTGTCTCAGATCTCTGGATTTTATATAATAAATGTAAAGTTTACATTTATGAAATGTAATGTTAAAATATTACATTTTAATATTTTCTGGGTACTTTTAATAACTTCTAATTATTTTTTATTTTATTAAATCATCATGCTCTACAAAGTTATTCATAGTTGAGTTTTAGGCATACAGCAACTTCCTTCCACCAGAATTCCCTGGTTGTCCCCACCCCCACTCCTCACCAAACTGCCACCTTGACAGGAACATTTTTAAGTTTGGTTGTTGAAATTTGTATCTGTTTTCAGTGTTGTTTCTCTGTGGTTTGGATATTTAGCTATACTCCTCCTTTACATAACCCATGTACCAAAATTCCCTTGACCCTCTGCCTCCTGTTGCTTCCTGTCTCTCTCTTCTTCTCCCCTCAATTTTATTCCTTATCTGTCCTTCTCCTCCCTATACTCTGGGGCCAAAGGTGATCCAGGCACCTCCCCTTTAGAATATTGCATTCCCTCTTTCAGTTATCCTATGTACCATATATAAGTAAGATCATCCAATGTTTACCCTTTTTCTGATTTACTTCATTTAACATGATATCTTCCAGTTCCATTCATTTTGCCACTAATTACATGATTTAATCAAAGGATTTAGGATTATTGAGTGTGGGAATTATGGCTCAGTTGTAGAACACTTGCCTTGTATGTGTGAGGCCATGGTTTCAATTCCTGATACAACAACAAAAAATAAAATGAAGTACCCTCCTAAGAATTTATAATTATTCAGAATCAAATTTTGGTATCAAATTGAGCAAGGGGATGAGTAAATGTACAAATGTTAAAGTTGTTGAATTTCTAGTGCCAATCTGAGGTAATCTAAAAAGATAAATAAATCATGACTGACTACTTCATTAAATCTGCATAAGTGTAAATTGAAACACTTTTAGAGCCAGGAATATTGCTCAAGTTAGCACATGCCTAGAAAGCATAAGGCCCTGTGTTTAATCTCTCCCACGTCAAGGCCTCCCCGCACTGCTGGCCCTGCTAACCCAAGAAGTGCTGCATCACCCACCTTATAAATCAGGCTCATACCACTAGACTACACATTGCCAGGAGTGACAATGCATTGCCAGTTCCTCTAAGTGTGACTGAATATAGTTCCTAAAAAGAGGGGGATACTTTTATGATCCAATAATCTCAGGAATCCAACAAATGAATTTTTTTTTCTTTTTCCATTTTTTATAATTTTATTTATTGAATCACCGTGAGAGCAGTTACAAAGCTTTTGGGTCTAAGTCTCAGTAATACAATGAAACACCCGTACCTTCACCAGTGCCCATTCTCCACCACCAAAAATCCCAGTATACCCCCATCCCACACCCTCCCTCTGCCTGTGGGGCAGATGATTTCTACTTTACTCTCTCTACTTTGATCACATTCAATATTTCGACACCAGATCCACCATTATTTAAGGTTTTACCCCAACACTCAGATCTGCTGAAAAGGCAACAATAGACAATTTGTGTTCTATTGCTGGTTATGAATAACATATGATGTCGTGTGGCTGCAGTAGGGCCATGTGGTTTTGAAATTCTGAAATTTTAACACTTAAATCTGGAGGGATTTGTGCCAAAAGCCACTGGGTTTAGAGATCTGCTCCTGAGTCTCTGGGATCAAGGCCATTGAGCAGCTTGATGAGGAGCCAGAGAGGCCGTTTGTGGGCGATGACTTGGGGTCTCATTAGGGTGGGGAGGACAGGCCCGGCTCCACCTCCCCCCCCCCATCCTGTGAGACCCAACAAGTTTCGTCACTGCGGGCCCAAGCCTGACTGTTCAATGGCCTCTGGAGGATGACAGCCACCAAGTTGCCAAGAGGGATCAGGGGGAGGGACAGCACCCATTCCCCCCTGGGGTGGCCCGGCGACAGTAACCTACTGCGGGGTCCGGACACATTTCTGCCAAAAGCCGCTGTGTTTCGAGATTTGTTTCTGAGTCTCTGGGATCATGGCCGTTAAGCAGCTCGATCAGGAGCCAGAGAGGCCATTCGTGGGCGATGACTTGGGGTCTCGTTGGGGTGGGAAGGACAAGCCCAGCTCCACCCTTATCCCGTGAGGCCCTGTGTGTCTCGTCACTGGGGGCCCAAATGTGACTATCCAGTGGCCTCTGAAGGATGGCAGTCACTGGGCCGCCAGGGAGAACAGGCCAAGGCACGAAACCTATTCCCACCTGGGTTGGTCCAGCACCGGTAGCCTACTGTAGAGACCAAACGCATTTCTACCTAAAGCCACTAGGTTCTGAGATTCGTTTCTGAGTCTCTGGGATCATGTCCATTAAGCAGTTCAATCAGGAACCAAAGAGGCCTTGCCTCCAATTATATAGCTGAGCGGGAGGTGGTTTGTGGGTGTGTGTCTCACATACCTAACTTTTGGCCATTTACTTTCTTGGTAAACTTTGCCCCAAGTTTTCGGGGTCTTGCCAAAGGCACAGCAGCAATTTTGGGGTATCTGGAAGTCTGCAGGCGCCATGAGGCTGCTGATGCACTCACCTCACAGGTACAGATTGACCTGCTGGTGGCACCATACCCCCTAACAAATGAATTTTAAACATCAAAATTTTGTTTGCATCCTGCAGCATTAGTCAAAAGTGTTTAAGTGAAGACATTTTTTTTATATATTTACGTTTTTCTGTTTTAAATTCTAGACCAAACTTGAATAAAAGGGGCTGGAGAAATAGTTTAACAGATTGAGCAACTGCTTTGCATGCAGGATTCCTGGATTCAATTCCTAGCACCGTATAGTCCCCTGAGAAACAAGAATGACTTTCTGGCACCTATCTGAGCACTTTGAGGCTTGGCCCCAAAACAAACAAAAATCTAGTAATAAAATATACAATGTATATATTCAGGTGGAATGAATAAATTATACCAAACACCTCAGTATTCCTTCAGGTTAGACATATTGGTTAAAAGTAAATACATGTGGAGTCAAGCAATCAAAGAACTGGCTTGCTGTATCCAGATGAGCAAGTAGAGAAATCTCCGTAGAAGCAGCACTTGAGAAAGGTACATAGAATCTCTCTGATTCAGTACAAAGTTAGTGAGTGAAATGTAAAGGTCCTGCCTCCTTTATTTTATCAAAAACTCAAATTGTTTTTGAGCAACAGATATTGCCAGTGCTCTAAGCAGTGTTTAAAAACAAAAACAGGGATGGTTTCTCAACTCAATACTTTCTGGTTAAGGTATAGTCTCTTTGTAAGACTCCTATAATGATTTCTCCTATCAGAACTCGTCAAAAAAAATTTGACTTGTAATTTATTATTAAATTCTCTTCTGTGTCTTTAAAATAATAGCCACTTCTACAGACTTTTGCTGTGTTTATCCTCCTGTTATGTTCCTCACATCAGGGAAACTAGTAGACTACATTGATCCTTGGATTTATTTTCAGATTACTGTTCTGACTTCCCATCCCAGAAAGGAAGTTGTCAAACAATTGGAAGAAGGTTTAAGAGATACAGACCTACTCAGAGTCAGGAAGCTTCAGGTGGTTGAAATCACAAAAGGAATTCTAGAGTATGTGGACTCGGCATCCCCTGTTGAAGACTCCAGCAATGATGGTAAAAAATAGTTCAAAAAAATAAGGAAAAAATACTTTCTTTTAAAATGCTTTTTTTCTTTCTTTGATTAATCTACTATCTTGATTTACTCAACAAAAACTGAGAACTTACTATGTGCTAAGCTCTGTATCTGATTAGAACTTTCATGATTTCTAAGTAGGTAAGTACAAAACATATACACATGTAACATCCTAAATCCTAGTCATGACACTTCAATGGATGGTTTTCATTAGTACTTTATTTAAAAAAAATTGGGCCAAGCACAGTTGTGCTCAGGGCTTACTAAAGCTTGGTTTCACTGTAGCTCTGCCGTGATTATGGTCACTCCCTAGAGTGTACTATGTCCCAAAATTCAATTAATTGATGTTTTGAATCCTTCCAAATTTGATTATTACTTATGTTCACTGAGATTGGTAATGCCAACCTCAGTCACACAGAAAGTTCTTTGTGGATTATAAGGTTTTTATTTTTGGGAAGAGAGACCAACTCAATTTTTTATTTTTATGTATATCAGACTTCATAAAATAGATAAGTAAATTATAAGAAAATAAATACTAAATCTATAGATTTTATAAAATTACCTTTGTTTGTTTATATATATTTCTGTTAGCCTTTATTTTGAATTTTAGGAGAAATTTCCAGTTACATATTTCTTTTTTAAATAAATAGATTTTATTTGGAGGTTTTGGAAAGAGTGAGAGAGTAACGTACTCAAGAGAGAACATGGGCTTCTCCAATGGCAGAGAGAGAGCCCCTACACACATCCTAGCATTAGACAGAAAAGCATGAAAGTACACATCTCAAGAGGGGAGATGCGCGAGACACATGTGCTCAACCCACATGTGCTCAGCCACGTGGGCGCAAGCAGCACAAGGGCTCAGGCAGCATATGCGCCATATTTTTTTTAATATTTTTGACCTAATTTCAGTCCTTAGATCTACAAATTTAGACACGTTTTTATTATTTTATTATTAACACATTTACTGATACTAGCTACTATTTTTTTCTTTCAAGACATTTTTCTCTTATAGCAGAATTTATTCCTACCTTAATCCTAGAGCTGAACTTTTAAATAAAATCTATTCCAACTTCCAAAATGAAATGTTTCCAAAACTTCAAGGTTTAAAATTTAAATTAAGATCAGTAAAATATTGGAGCCAGAGAGACAGTACAATGGGTGAGGCACTTGCCTTGCACCTCATGTGATCCCCTGAACGTGCCAGAGCTAATCTCTGATCACAAAGCTGGTAGTAAAAAGTAAATAAAAAATAAAAATAAATGTTGAATAAAAAAGGTCAGGAGAACGTGCTTTGCATGTAAGAGGTCCAGGTTTTATTCCCAGCACTGCATGGTCCCCTGTGCAGTGCCTCAGGAGCACCACTTAGGAGACCCTCTCAAAAATGCTAAGAATTTTAAAAAGTAGTTTTTAGTAGATCAGAAAAATTATTTTTCATGACTTTTTATGTTCTTAAATGTTAAATAAAATAAGCATACTTAAGTGTTGGTGCTCGAAGCTCAGCTATCAGGCTACTTGAATTTTTGCACTATTTGATCCCAGTCACCACCAGGTTTAGTCCTATAAGTACTACTGGGGTGGCCCGGGTGGTGCCTCGTATCACAGAGTCTGAGTACTGAATCTGCAGGCCCAGTTGGTCAAGTTATCTATCAACAGGAGTGGCCCAGGGCCTTCCCCCTAAACAGTGTTTCAGAAGCCTGTCCTGCAAATAAGAAATATTTCAGTGATGTTCACAGGAACTTTTTTTCTAGATTTGTGGTGAGTTTATGTTTGTTTAATTTTGGTTTGTTCTGAGGCTGGGGCCTACTCCCTACTGAGGAGTTACTCCTAGAGGTTCTTAGGAGAACACTCAGTGCTAGGGATAAAACCCAGGCCTTTCTTCAACAAAGCATGCAGACTACTCTCTCTGAGCTATCTTCCCAGTTCTTAGCGTTGAGTATTCACCATATTTTTTAACTTCAGTGACCGTATATGCTAATGTGAAACCTAAAATATTTTAGGTATAAAAAGTAATAATTCCTTCCCCCTCTTATCACTTTTAAGAGTCTGGAGTAACCTTCCCAATATCCCTTTATATAGATATGCACAAACTCACTTACATGTATTTTGGGGTGGGAGAGCAGGTTTGGACCCCCTGGTAGTGCTCAAGGGCTACTCTCAGCACTTATGTACTTACGGGTCATTCCTGTTGGTGTTCAGGAAACCATATGGAATAGGGATTAAACCCAGGGCTCCCACATGCAAAGCATGCACTCCAATGCTAAGCTATCCCATATTTTAATTTTTAGGGTTCTTTTTTATTTGTTTGTTGGGTTTTGTTGGATTTGTTTTGCTATACGGGGTAAAGGGGAGGGATTGGGATTGGTCCACAAACCAGCATTGCTCAGGGATTACTCCTGGCTCTGTACTCAAGGATCACCCCTGGAAGAGCCCTGAAGATCAAATCCGGATAGCAAATTGCAAGGCAAGTAAGTTCCTTGCCCGCTGCACTAGTTCTCTCATCTTTTAATATTTTAATGGAATCATGATACATTATATGCTGCAAACTTCTTTGTATATTTCATGGCCATTTGTGTCAATATATATTGAGCTGTCTCATGTCTTTTACTGGCTGTGTGATTAGAAAGCACACCTAGCACTGCTCTGGGGCTGCTCTCAGCTCTGTTCAAGGAAGGAGGGGGAGTTTCTCCCACTGGTGTTCAGGGGACCATCCAGGAATCAAACTTGAATCAGTCCATTGAGCTACCTGTCCACCCTTGGATACATGATTGTTTTGCATCCCCAGAGGTGCTGGATAATGGTGGGGGACAGTAGAAGCCACAGTGCAATTGGGTGACACTCTATTCCCTCAAGCAACATTGATTTCTAAGTAGGTATTGAGTAGTTTTGTTTCTAAAAAGTAGGTGAGGGGGTATGGTGCCACCAGCAGGTCAATCTGTACCTGTGAGGCGAGTGCATCAGCAGCTTCATGGCACCTTCAGACTTCCAGATACCCCAAAATTGCTGCTGTGCCTTTGGCAAGACCCCGAAAACTTGGGGCAAAGTTTACCAAGAAAGTAAATGGCCAAAAGTTAGGTATGTGAGAAACACACCCACAAACCACCTCCCGCTCAGCTATATAATTGGAGGCAAGGCCTCTTTGGTTCCTGATTGAACTGCTTAATGGACATGATCCCAGAGACTCAGAAACGAATCTCAGAACCTAGTGGCTTTAGGTAGAAATGCGTCTGGTCTCTGCAGTAGGCTACCGGTGCTGGACCAACCCAGGTGGGAATAGGTTTCGTGCCTTGGCCTGTTCTCCCTGGCGGCCCAGTGGCCGCCATCCATCTGAGGCCACTGGATAGTCACATTTGGGCCCCCAGTGACAAGACACACAGGGCCTCACAGGATGGGGGTGGAGCCGGGCTTGTCCTCCCAACCCCAACGAGACCCCAAGTCATTGCCCACGAATAGCCTCTCTGGCTCCTGATCAAGCTGCTTAACGGCCATGATCCCAGAGACTCAGAAACAAATCTCGAAACACAGCGGCTTTTGGCAGAAATGTGTCCGGACCCCGCAGTAGGTTACTGTCGCCGGGCCACCCCAGGGGGGAATGGGTGCTGTCCCTCCCCCTGCTCCCTCTTGGCGACTTGGTGGCTGTCATCCTCCAGAGGCCATTGAACAGTCAGGCTTGGGCCCGCAGTGACGAAACTTGTTGGATCTCACGGGATGTGGGGGGCGGGGGAGCCGGGCCTGTCCTCCCCACCCCAACGAGACCCCAGGTCATCGCCCACGAACGGCCTCTCTGGCTCCTCATCAAGCTGCTCAACGGCCATGATCCCAGAGACTCAGGAGCAGATCTCGAAACTCAGTGGCTTTTGGCACAAATCCCTCCAGATTTAAGTGTTAAAATTTCAGAATTTCAAAACCACATGGCCCTACTGCAGCCACACGACATCATATGTTATTCATAACTAGCAATAGAACACAAATTGTCTATTGTTGCCTTTTCAGCAGATCTGAGTGTTGGGGTAAAGTCTCAAATAATGGTGGGTCTGATGTCGAAATAGTGAATGTGTTCAAAGTAGAGAGAGAGAGTAATGTGGAAATCATCTGCCCCACAGGCAGTGGGAGGGTGTAGGATGGGGTTATACTGGGATTTTTGTTGGTGGAGAATGGGCACTGGTGAAGGTACGGGTGTTTCATTGTATGACTGAGACTTAGACCCAAAAGCTCTGTAACTGCTCTCACGGTGATTCAATAAATAAAATTATAAAAAATGGAAAAAGAAAAAAAAAATAAGGTGGAGTTCATGCACAATTCAATCAGCTAATCAGTGGCTGAATAAATAGCAGTACTCCTACAAAAAAAAAAAAAAGTAGGTGAAGTAAGTTTTGGAACCTCTAGGTTATACCATGGTTCGTTTGGTCACTTAATATTGATCAATTCAGTTTATTGCATTTCATGATGATAATCAAAATTTACATACAGTGCTGGGTTTATGGGCTTATAACCAGCACTGTCACCCATGGGCCTATGCTAACAAAATCCTGTGCTTTGGATATATTATCTTAAAAATCTTAACTTTATCTTTAAATTGTACTTTGTCAATGAAGTTTATTGGAACAGTGGCGTGTGTGCCAGGGGATTAGAGCCTCAGCTCACACACCCCTACCTCCTGCGTCATTCCCCACCTCCCCACAGTCACTTCTCAGTCAATATCTTCCCAACTCTGGAGTTCCCAGCCTTCTCCTACCCAGTGACCACTAACATCCTGCCAATAAATCCTACATAAATCACACAAATCACCCATGAATTACCTATAATTCTGTATACTTCATAGAACAGAAAATATTATAATGAGTTACAGAGAAGTAGAAATTAGCTAAGCAGGAGCTGTAGAAATGGCACTCCAAAAGGAAACCCAGAATCACAGAAAGCAAAATACAACTCTCAGAGAATCCCATGGTTCCCTATAACATAAATTTGACTATAAGATAAGCAA